TTGTTACATATAATATTTTTGACATCTTTGCACATGCACGTCGTCAGTCTGCTGTTTCAGATCCAGATATCTCCTCTGTGTCCCGTACTGTCCACTGTTATGTATCTGCAGAACTGTATCAAATCCCTGAACCGGCTCAACAGTAAAGCCATCTATTGTGCAGCCAGCTTTAAAGATACTTGTTCGCTTTTGCCTCATTTGGTGGTTTTGCATTTTCTGCCAATATTAAATGCTGCTCTGAACCATGGACAGAAAAACCTCACCTCTACCTATTTGCTTATCTTTGAGTCCTAATGAACCACTACAGCATAACTGAGATGATATTATGATTATATTTAAACATTACATAAATTAATGAAGTTTCAAACACATTCAGCGTTGGAAGGTGTGGTTGAGTGTAAACCACTGTGTGTGTTCTGATATGATTTGATCTATGTTTTGTTGTGCTTGGAATACAGATTGATAAAGTTCTGCAGTCTGTATTTCTTTACGCAGAGAGAAACTGGGTCATGAGATTTATTAATTCTCCAAAAACTATGTAGCGAGGAAGCATGAATCCCCTCTTGCCCCAACACTAACGTGCTCTTGAGCAAGACACTTTGCTCTCTTAATTACCCCAGAAAGCATGTTCCAACACCACCAACACAAAGCTTATGTCTGTGTGTGTGTGTGTGTGTGTGTGTGTGTGTGTGGTCCAGGTATTGCTGCTTTTGTGAGGACCTAGGTCTGTGAGGTTGGGTCGAAGTTCAGGTTTAAGATTAGTTCAGGTTGAAAACCTGACTGAAAAACAAATGAACTGTTACTAAATGAAGCAATATATATATGGATGAGATAATACAGTGTTTAATATTTGTGAACATCATATTACATATATGCATAACATCACATATACAGTATATAACATTTTCATTTCCTCCTCTCAGACATGATTTCATGCAGGAGGAGCACAGGTGAACAACTATCTGGTGTGAATCAGTTGTTAGGTGCAGTGTCTTATTGCCTCCTC